GGGGGGGGTCAACCATCACCAACCGTGCTTTAAAGGTTTTCATTAGCATCATTTACAAGCACTGTGGCAGCACAGGCGTCCAAGTCTGGGCGGTGGGGCCGGCCTCCCCTCGAGAACTACTGCACAGCTGGGTTCTTGCTGTAGTCTTACGTTACCTCTCGGCCAATGGTGGGGGAACAGCCTCAGGCTCATCATACCCATGTTCACCCAGACGTTGGACTGCTGCGTCCGGGCGGCCGGCTGCTGTCTCAGGAAGAGCAGGTAGCGGGGAAACAGCTCCAGCTCAGGCAGGCCCCTCGCGCTGTTTCTGATCACCTGCAGGACGAGGAGGAAAACAGAAGATCAGCAATCGAGGAGGAGGGAGTTGGGGAGGGGGGTTGTTTTTTTATTATTTATTTATTATTTAAATTTATATACCGCCCTATCTCCCTTACGGGACTCAGGGCGGTGAACAGGCAATAATAAAAATCACAATAAATATTGAATGAAAAGCCTGCTCTAAAATTTATTTATTTATTTATTAAATTTATATACCGCCCTATCTCCCTTGCGGGACTCAGGGCGGTGAACAGGCGATACTAAAAACCACAATAATAAATAAATAATTTGTTTTAAAATTGAATTAAATAACAGGCCTGTTCTAAAAACACACCCGTAAAAAACCCCCCACTGAAACATAATCAAACTATGCCAGGCCGGCCGCACGGAATAGATGGGCCTTCAGGGCTCGGCGAAAAATACCCCATATAAAACCCCTAGCAAAGCCCAATCAAAACTACGCCAGGCCGGCCGCATGGAATAGATGGGTTTTCAAGGCTTGTTGTCTTGAGCAATACAAGTTGTCCTCGACGTACGACCACGATTGAGCCCAATGTCTCTGCTGCTAAGCGAGACGGTGGTTAATTGGGGTTTTTTTGCCCCGTTTCACGACCTTTCCTTTCGGTTTGGTCGCCGGTGGATTCCGCAGATTTTCAGATCTGTGGTTTGGTAAAGTCGGAGGTTCTCGACTTAGCACTGCAATGGGGCACCGGAAGTCCAGTGGTAAGGGCCCAGATTTTGATTAAGTGGCCATGGGGATGCTGCAATGGTCATAAGCATGAAAAACAGTCATAGGTTACTTTTTTCAGGGCCCGTTGTAAGTTCAAATAGTTAGTGAATGAAAGGTTGTAAGGTGAGGGCTAAATAAATAAAGAAGCAACGGATGGAAACTGATCAAGGAGAGAAGCAACCTAGAACTAAGGAGAAACTTTCGGACGGTTAGAACAATTAACCAGTGGAACAACCTGCCTCCAGAAGCGGTGAATGCTCCAACACTGGAAGTTTTTAAGAAGAGACTGTACAGCCATTTGTCCGAAATGGTATAGGGTTTCCTGCCTGAGCAGGGGATTGGACTAGATGACCTCCAAAGTCCCTTCCAACTTTATATTATTATTATTATTATTATTATTATTATTATTATTATTATTATTATTATTATTATTATTATTATTATTATTATTATTATTATTATATGATGGACAATGAGTCCAGACACCTCAAAATAGTTATAACGATTTTACTAATTATAGGCAATTACAGGTAGTCCTCAACTTACGACCACAGTTGAGCCCAAATTTTCTGTGGCTAAAGTGAGAAATTTGTTAACTGAGTTTTGCCCATTTTACGACCTTTCCTGCCACCGTTGTTAAGCAAATCACTGCAGTCGTTAATTGGTCATACGGTTGTTAAGTCACATGACACACACCCCCGGGGACGCTGCAACTTTCATAAATATGAGTCGGTTGCCAAGCGGCTGAATTTTGATCACGTGATCATGGGGATGCTGCAACTGTCGTTAAGTGCAAAAAACGGTCACAAGTCACTTTTTCCAGTGCTGCTGTAACTTTGAATGGTCAGTAAATGAACTGTTGTAAGTCAAGGACTACCTGTACGTGGAGTCCTGAAGTTATAACCACAACGGAGACCAAAATTTCTGCTGCTAAGCCAGACGGTTGTTAATTGACTTTTGACCCATTTTACGACCTTTCCTGCCACAGTTGTTAAGCGAACCACTGCAGTCATTAAGTCAGTCACACGGTTGTTAAGTGAATAAGGCTTCCCCGTTGACTTTGCTCGTCAGAAGCTCACAAAAGGGGATCACGTGACCGCAAGGACGCTGCAACCGCCATAAATACATGCCGGATGCCAAGCGTCTGAATTTTGATCAGGTGATCCACCGGGATGCTGCAACGGTCGTAAGTGTGAAAAACAGTTGCAAGTCACTTTTTCCAGTGCCGCTGTAACTTCGAATGGTCACTAAACAAACTGTCGTAAGTCGAGGACTGCCTGTAATGTGGTTGTTAAATGAATCTGGCTTCCCCGCTGACTTTTATACAGCGTCGCAAAAGGGGATCACGTGACCCCGGGACTCTGCAACCGCCATAAGTACATGCCAGTTGCCAAGCGTCTGAATTTTGATCAGGTGACCACGGGGATGCTGCAACGGACGTAAGTGTGAAAAATGGTCATAAGTCACTTTTTCCAGTGCCGCTGTAACTTCGCTCACTAAATGAACGGTTGTAAGTCGAGGACCAGCAGATCTCATCCTCATTTTACTCCCGTATAAGCTCAAGCGTGGTGGTGATAAGTATGACTGTTTTTCATGCTTATGACCATTGCAGCATCCCCATGGTTACTTAATCAAAATCTGGGCACTTACAACTGGACTTCTGGTGCCCAATTGCAGTACTAAGTCGAGAACTTCCGACTTTACCAAACCACGGATCTGAAAGTCTGCAGAATCCATCGGAGACCAAACCAAAAAATATATATCACTGCCTCCATTTCTATATCCAGCTTACTGGTGCACTGATGATATTACCTAGCTGGGTAATGAAACATCTGCAAGAAAACAACCAAGCTCAGAGAGCACCACGGACTTCTCATTTCAACCCTGAGCTACAAATATTTTCTTTTATTAGTACCAAATGCGATTACACCCCTGCTGTTTTATTACTGCACTGAGAATGATGCTCATCCTTGGTCCACACCACAAATTATCATTTTGAAAATGCCTTAAAAGTGAAGAGACAAAGGATGATGGCTCCTCCGCCAGGAAACCAATGGTTCCATCATGTCCCAAAGGTGCTTTTTCAAAAGGCAACTGGACTTTGTTTTTCCTTGAAGATGTTTCGCTTCTCATCCAAGAAGCTTCTTCAGTTCTGACTGAATGGCGGAGGATGGAAAGATTTAAACTTCTTGCAGTCATCTGATTGTTAGCACTCTTTCTGAGAATTGTTGAGGCCGTGTGGAGGTCTATCTGGGCCTTCAGGGCCACTTGAATAGTGCAAATGGGTGTGGAATCTTCTTAGAACTGTGGAAAGGACTGTGTTGTAAACAGGAGATAGGTGGTGTCCTATCCCTCCCGCTCTGTTGAGAGAGGGCTGTTCAGTCTTAATGTAGATGGTCTCTTTGACCCTTCTTTCAAACCACCAGCTGGCCCAGCCCAAGGGAGGTAAGGCACCCACCGGAAAAGGGGGAAAAGAATGGTGGACAAAAAAAATGGTGGACAAAAAAAAATGGCAGACAGCCTTGCTTGGCGACCCCCGTGAAATGGTCGATCGACCCCAAATGGGGTCCCGACCCACAGGTTGAGAACCACTGCTCCAGAATGTGGACTTTGCTTTCAAAAGAGTGATCTTTGTCATAGACTGCTGAATCTTGTCTGATGGGTGTGTTCTCCTATGTCAGTGATGGCGAACCTTTTAGAGACCGATTGCCCAAACTGCAACCCAAAACCCACTTATTTATCGCCGGGTGCCAAGTGGGCGTGGTCCACTGGGTGGGCGTGGCTGTGGTGGTCATGGCAGATTGGGTGGGTGTGGCCAAGGTGGGCGTGATCACCTCGATGTTGCTCGTGGGCAGGGTTAGGGGAGATCCAGGGGGTCTCTGGCAGGTGGGGCAGTGGGCAGGAGGCTCGTCCTGCGGGGTGAGGTGAGGCGAGGCAGGGCAGGGGGTGCCCTTGTCACAGGGCAAGGTGAGGCGGGGGCCGGTGCGGCTGCTGCCTGACACCATCGGCCCCTGCACACAAAGGCCAGCGAGCGCATGGGTGCTGGGATGCATCCGGCCATGTGGGACCTCGGCGAGTTAGCGGACGGCTGGTTGAAGAGGGAC